GCCTCAAATTCAAATCTCTTTGAGTAAAGATATACTTGAGGCTCTTATGATCAGTAAAGATACGACACTTCTCATCGTACAAGTAATGTCTCCAGATCTTCAAAGCAAATACCACTGCACCGAGCTCCAAATCATGAGTGGGATAGTTTCTCTCGTGAGTCTTGAGCTGTCTGGAAGCATAAGCAATGACTTTATCATGCTGCATCAGTACACAACCCAAACCTGATAGGGATGCATCCGTGTAGATATCAAACTCACCGCTATTATCTGGAAGAGTAAGAACGGGAGCTTGAGTAAGACATCGCTTCAGTTCCTGAAAACTCCGCTCACAATCTTCATCCCACTTAAACTCCACTTCCTTTCGAGTCAACTTATTCAGAGGTAAGGCAATGGCTGAGAAACCTTTAACAAATCTTCGGTAATAGCCAGCTAGACCTAGAAAACTCCTCACTTCAGTAACATTCCTCGGTTGCTCCCACGTAGTTATTGCTGACACCTTCTGAGGATCCACACTAATCCCCTCAGCAGATACTACATGACCGAGAAAGCTAATTTGGTTTAGCCAGAACTGACACTTGCTAAACTTAGCATACAACTGCTCACTGCTCAACCTTTCCAACACCAACCTCAAATGCTTCTTGTGGTCGCTGACACTCTTGGAAAAGATCAGAATATCATCAATGAACACAATCACAAACCGATCCAAATACGGTCTGAAAACTCTGTTCATCAAATCCATGAACGCTGCAGGTGCATTCGTCAGTCCGAAAGGTATGACACGAAATTCAAAGTGTCCATACCTAGTGCGGAAAGCAGTCTTCGGTACATCTCCCTCCCGAATTAGTAACTGATGATAACCTGAGCGAAGATCGATCTTAGAGAAAACCTGAGCACCCTTCAGCTGGTCGAACAGATCATCGATCCAAGGCAAAGGATAACGATTCTTCACCGTCACCCGGTTTAACTGCCGATAGTCGATGCAAAGTCTCATCGATCCGTCCTTCTTTTTAACAAATAAAACAAGAGCACCCCAGGGAGACATACTGGGTTGGATGTAACCTTTATCCACCAACTCCTGAAGTTGAACCTTCAATTCCCTCAACTCCGCCGGTGCCATGCGATAAGGTGCTAAAGAGATAGGGTCTGTTCCTGGAAGTAAATCGATGGTAAATTCAATTTCCCTCGCAGGTGGTAACCCTGGTAAATCATCCGGAAAAACATCGGTGTAATGCTTCACCACTGGCACATCCTTAGGACGCAACGAAGATTTATCCCTCGTTACTACATGAGCTAAGAATCCCACACATCCCCTACTCAACAATCTAGTAGCCTGAATAGCGGAAATAATACTACTAGGAAGGATTCGTCGCTCACCCTGAAATGTGATTGACGGTCGTCCAGGCCGGTTGAACGTCACAGATTTCTCCCAACATGCGACATAAGCACGGTGCCTGGATAGCCAATCCATCCCCAAAATCACATCAAACTCCGCCAAATGAAAAGGGACCATATTAGCCTCCATCATTTCCCCTTCAACTACCACTGGGTAACTTTTATACTCCCACTGAGCACAAAACAGATCCCCTTGCGGCATTTGCACAAGCATATCATAACCAAGAGGTGTAGGTGGTGCATTTAAATTCGGTGCAAATGATGAAGACACAAAAGAAAAGGTAGCACCCGGATCAATTAGAACCTTCGCCCAATTACCACAAATAAGTAACATACCGGTAATGACTTGAGGATCCTGATCAGCCTCCTGCTGTGTCATGGCGTTGATACATCCATGAAACTGACGTCCTGCTCCACTGTTACGGTTACCACGAGCTCTGAAACCTTGATTATTACGGCCTGCTCGATTCCCCTGAGAACGGCTACTCGAAGCTGCACCAAACTGTTGCGGCTGTCTCTGAGTGGAAAATTGGGTATTCTGACTTCCACTTCCACTTCCACCATAGCTCTGAGTGTAATTACCTCCATAGCTAGAACTCGGATTACTCCCTCCATCATAACTCGGCACCGATGCATAACTCTCAGCAGGCTGTCCTGAAGGGCAAAATCTGGCAATATGTCCCATGCCTCCACACCTGTGGCATGTAACCTGCGACCGGAAATAACTGAAAGATCGCATCCCTGATTCATTACCCGAACCCTCGCTGGAAGAACCTGAACCTTGACCCTGACGTTTGAAGGAATGAGAGTGTCTAGGGCCAACAAAGTTAGAAGAGTTACCAGATTCCCTCACACTCCGAGATCTAAAACCACGACCTCTCTGGTTCTGGTTCCGAGGTTGTTCCTGATATCTGGGTGGTTCTTGATACTGCGCCTGCTCCTCCTGGTGCTGAATCTCCCACCTAGATTGTTCAATCCTCAAAACAAGTCTCAATCATTTCCTCATAACTTCTGTGCCTTATGGCTGCCACTCGTTCACGATAATCAGGGTTCAAACAAACCAGCAACTGAACCATCTTCTCATTCGGGTTATCATAAGTCACCGGATGGTGTCTCGACAGGTGTCGAAAAGTATTATCCATCTCTGTGATACTCAGATCGCCTTGACGAAACTCCAGAAATTGTTGTCTCATCCTCAACTGATAACTGGGACTCAGAAAATGTGCACTGAAAGCTTTCCGGAATGCCACCCAAGTCATCGAAGTGCCTCGTGGACGAGAATGCTTCACTCCTTTCCACCAAATCTTTGCAGGACCCTTAAGAAAAAAAACCAGCAGTCTCCGTCCACTCACCTGCTGGACATCTCATACCCTCCAGAGTATCTTCCACCTACTCTAACCATTCCTCAGCCCTCCGGACAGGCTCCCACTACCTTAAAACTCTGGGAATACCATGACTGGTAGCAATCTCAATATAGGTGCGATTCGATGATCTACCAGTAAGGGCAGTTCGCAAAACATTAGCCAATTGCTCAAGTCCTCCCCCTATACCAGAACGAGCTCGACGAGGTACATGCCCACCAGCGGGATCCATAATTCTGATAAGAAACAAGAAAGATTTAGAACAACAGAAAATTAAGGATATAAAGAGAATTATAATTACCAAATGGTGGAAAAAAATCCTAAGTATGCTCTGAATGAATCATGCTCTGATACCAATCTGACACGCCCCGATCCCGATGTCCTCGTGACATCGGGATGATCACGTGCTGGCCGACACCCAAAGGGTGACGAAAGCCATTAATTTAAGTAAAAACTCATAAATAAGCTAAAACAGGCAGCAGGACTAGCCACAATAATACTACAAAATCAACTTCTAATTAATAACATTAGGATCAACGCATAATGTCAAAGCATACGTCTATTACAGAGTACAAACAGAATTTAAGATAGAGATGTGCTATATTACAAAAGATATCGAAGCAGAAGAAGTATAGCACTGGATCACTGGTAGGGAAATGCCTCGTAGCTTATATCGTAATCCTCGTTCGTAGGTCCTGAAGGGGGCGCAAAACAAACATGAGTGGACCAATTTGATATAAATATAATAAAACAGTTATCAACATACTAACCCCTAGGTTTATGAAAACATATATATATCATGATCAAAATAGGTTTTCAGAAACCTAGCATGCTGTGCAATATTTCAAATTCATAACTTGTATAAGTAATAAACACTAGTGAATTGTCCGATACTCTGCAGGCCCCATGCCAGCTCCCCGTCTCTGAGCAGACAGCCAGAGGAAAATACACTACAGGCCCCATGCCGGCTCCCCGTCCCTGTGCTAAATAGCTAGAGGAAACACACTCCAGGCCCTATGCCAACACCAAACCGTCGCTCGGGACGGACCGGAATCTATCCCTACGTCCCGTAGCGGAAAGGACCACTAGGTAAGTACAAAACCATTGAGCATAAACATATTGAAAAACAACTTCGTAGTATAAAGTCATCCATCATCTATACTACAAAGAGGTGTTCTAAACATGTTCCAAATATCATATCGTCATCCATCGGATATTCTATAAGAACATGGGTTATAGGAAAAATAGTAATAATTCAATCTAGCCTCAGTAAGCATATATCTCATAAAGTACTTTGTAAAACATAAGTATTAAATCATGTTTTTCGTGTATGCATTTCTATTGTTAAAACATGATTTTGAAGGGGTCCACTCACTGTACACCGATGATGCAAAGCTGTACCAAAAAGGTATAGCAGAATCACCGTTAATAATTTCACCTATTCACATAAAGGAGTACCTTTGGTCAAACTCTAATCAAACGATTGAATTTGGGAAAACGGACTTCAAAAACTGGTTCAGGACGTTGAAATTAGCCTAGGAGAGGTCCTGAACGAAACCCCGAAAAAGTCAACTCAAAAAGTCAAACGTTGACCGTTGACCGAGTCAACAGTCAACAGTCAACTGGTCAGAGGTCAAAGTCAACTGGGCTTTGAATTTGGGTTGGGCCGAATGGGCTTTAAGGGTTTTGGGTTGAAAACCCAACTCAGATTGGCCCAAGGCCTAATCTGCTTGGGCTACACACACGGGCCTAATGCCCTAAACATAAACGGCCCAAGGGCCTTAATTTTATAACAGAAAATAACAAAAACCTTAAAAGGTTTTTGGGTTTGGCTAATGGGCTTCAGCCCTAAGTAAAAACGGCCCAAGGGCCTTTGGTCTTAAAACAGAAATTAACTTAAACAATTAAAAGGAAATGGGTTGGATTGGGCTGGCCTCACCACACGGGCCTAAGGCCCTCCTGCTATTCGAAACCGGCCTGGGAGGCCTGGCCTCATCGGAGCACCACCACCGGAGCTTCACAGCTCCGGCCGACTACCACACACCACCCTAGAGTCCGATCTAGGTACCAAAACGAAGAGCAAGACGAGGGGAGTGTTTTTATACCTTCCTTTCGTCGTGGAACGGCTGGAGATGGCCGAAAAAAGCCCCGACACCCTCGGGATCGCCGAAGTTGGGTGTGCTTACACCCGGCTTCGATTCGTCCTAAAAACCTCGAAAATCACGAATTAACCTCCATTAAAACTCAACCCACAAGATTTTAGGATGAAAAACGGAAGGTTTGGAGCTTACCTTACCGGGAAAAATGGAAACTCGCCGGAGTTCCTCTCCGGTTTCCTGGGGTTGCAGCACGGGACAGAGGGAGAGAGAAGAAGGAGATGGGTCTTCCTCGCGCGGGGGAGACGGGTGCGTGCGTGCGGGTTGCTGCAAAGAAGAGAGATGATGGAGCTATGAGAGAGGGCCGAGAGAGAGAGAGAGAGAGATAGAAGCAGGAAAGAAAAGAAAACAGAAAAGAAAAAGAAGAAGAAGAAAGAAGGAGTCACGGGGGGGGGGGGGACAGAGAGAGAAGGAAAGGGAAATTGCTAGGGAGCTGCCACGTGGCAGTGTGAAAATAAATAAGGGATCCAATGTTTAGATCCTGATAAGGTAGTCCAAAAAGGGTAAAATTGCTAGATTTAGAATATTTAGGGAACATTACACACGTATAATTTTATAAATGGAGGCGGGTGTTACAGAAGCCTTGCCACAAGATTGGTCTGCTGAAGAAAAAGAAGACGCTTTGAATCGAGCACATAGTGCAATTATGTTATCACTATCTGATGAAGTTCTTCGTGAGGTGGATAATGAAACTACTACATCTGGTTTGTGGCTTAAGTTGGAGAGTAGATATATGACCAAATCCCTCACCAATCGTTTGTATTTGAAGCAACGTTTGTACACTCTCCGTATGACTGAAGGTACGCCTATTCAAAATCATCTTGATGAGTTTAATAAGGTTATTATGGATTTGAAAAGTATGGATAATAAAATTGATGATGAGGATCAATCTTTGATTTTGTTGTGTTCTTTACCTCCTTCGTATGCGAATTTTGTTGAAACTTTGTTATATGGGAGAGATTCTATTTGTATGGAGAATGTAAAAGCCGCTTTGAATTCAAGAGAGTTAAAGAACAAAGTATTTGGAAATTTGAATGATTCTCATTTTGAGGCTTTGATAGCAAGAGGCAGAGATAGGGAATATGGTTCAGGGAGTAATAAAGGAAATTTGAGATCGAAGTCTAAGACCAGAAACAACACATGCAACTATTGTCGCAAGGAAGGGCATTGGAAAGTTGATTGTCCAAAACTGAAAGATAATGCTGGTGCGAGTGCGAATGTTGTCGATGACGACTTCGACTTTGTTCTATGATGACAGTTGGCTACACCAGATTTGAAATTAAAAAAAAAAAAAAAAAAAAGGAATCTGGTGTTGTGGGTACTCTTAAATCTCTCCGCTACATATGGAGATTTAAGAGTTTGTAAAGATTCTTTGTTATGATTTGAGAAAGTTGCTTAGTAGCCTCTATGTATGTTTGTGTTATGTTAGTTGCTCTTCATCGGTGTTTTTATTGTTTTGGATATTGGTATGGTTTTTCTTTTTTTGGTAAAGTTGAATTCAGTGAGGGCCAATTTGTTGAGTTCTGCAAGTTTGGATAGTGAGGCACCACACTATTTTGGATACACCACATGCACTGCAGAACATTTGTGTGGAACCCTCGTGTAGAAGGCAAGTTATATGCTTTCTAACTTTGTTTGGGCTATGGACATTTGGTTGGATTTGTTTGCCACTGCTATTTGGTCTGTTGGTCTCCATCATCTGCAATTAGTTTTCTTGAAGACTCCAGTTGAGGTATGGTTTTGGATCTCCTGCTGATTTTTTGAATTTGAAATTTTGGTTGTCCTGTTGGTGCTCATGTGATGATGGTAAACTTGAGTGAAGGGCATATTTTCGTATGTGGTATGTGAGACTTTGTTGCCAAATTTGTAATCAGTTTTGACTTGGAGAATGTGCCATGCTATGTGAATGAGTCTATTGGTGCAGTTTAAGACCATGGTGTTTGTGAGCAGGTGGAGTTCATTGTGTGTCTAACTTTGGTATGGTGTACTTGATCTTTTGTTGGTGATATTGAATAATTTCAGTTCTTCGTTTGAATCACCTTTTGTTTTGATCAAGGCACTTATGGTTTGCAAATTTGGAGAAGACGGTAGAGAAATGGTCTACTTTTGTTGTCTTTGGTACATTTTGAGTCGAGGTGGAGATCATTTTGAGTACCGGAAAGTTTGGGGAATTTGATTTAGTTCCCGTTGTCTTTAGTTTGTACTTTGGGTGATTATGGTGATTGTTGATTTGATTCTCTGTGATGTTTTCAGAATTTGGCCAAGGTGGAGATTGTTGGATAGTGGCCAAATTAGGCTAGGAAACAAAACAAAAGAATGAAAGAAAATTGATGAGGGAACATCATGATGAGGATTATGTTTCCTTGTTTTGTGGCTTGTTTTAACTCCGCCTATGTCTTACATGGCCGGTCCCAAGCCCGGATAAAGGAGGAGGGGGAGGGCGTCAGGTAGTCGACAGCCGGCACTCCATGATCACGTCGAATCCTTATGAAAATGAATCCATAACAAAATCGCGCTAAAGCTAGGGCGTCACCCGTAAGTGGCGCGCTGTGTGGCCCGAGCACAGTGATAAGTGAGCAAGGGTCGCTGTATCTCCATCGGCACCCGATGCAGTGTTAAATGAGCAAGGGGGCCATAGAAACTTCTTTTCGAACGACTCCATTCAAAGTTGTTTGGGAGCATATGCTCCTATCAACTTTACCCGGGACACACAAAAGAAGTACTTTGATCCTATTAGACGGGGGAGGGTGAAGAAGCTAGGACAGAAGGGTAGAGTTCAAGAGAGCAAAATGCATTTAGGAACGTGGAATATAGGAACCTTAACGGGAAAATCTATGGAAGTAGTGGAAGTTATGGTGAGGAGAAGGATAAATATTATGTGCCTACAAGAAAAACTAAGTGGGTTGGTAGTAAGGCAAAGGATCTAGAAAACTCAGGGTTTAAACTTTGGTATTCGGGCACAAATAGAACGAGAAACGGTGTTGGCATCATCGTGGACAAGACCTTGGTACAAGATGTTGTAGATGTCAAGAGGGTAGGAGATAGAATCATGGCAATCAAGATTGTAATAGGACAA